GAAAATGGAAACAAAAAGTAATGTAATATATAACATCAGAAAGAAACGATTGTGGTTTCTGTGGCACATAATGAGGAAAGAGGGCTTGGAAACTATGACACTCACGGAACAGATAGAGAGCAAGAGGGGCAGAGGAAAATAAGGCATAACATAATAAGCTCCAGTAAATTGATGGCGGTACAGGGCTTGGGAGAAATAACAGAAAGAGAAAGATTATTAAGTGCTACAAGGAACAGGAAGTTGTGGAGAGCCATGATCGTCTACGTCCTGAGGGGGATATGGCACATAATAAATAATTTCACATTCTAAATTTTATGAAACCTTGGGCGATTATATCGACTAATCTCTCCTGGGATTAACAGAAGGATGTAATCAAACTTGCAATAAAATAATAGTAAAAAAAAGTAGAGATAATTTCACTATTATCATAAAAGTGAATTTAATAAGAGGAAATAAAACTAGTGACATTCGGTTGGTGGGAGACAGAAAGTACCGGATAAAGTAAGAAAGGAACGCTGGAAAAAAGGACTAATGAACAGTTGTAAGAAGAGGGAATATATACTTGTCCACAAGAGGCTAATATCAAATTTACATATTGGATTGGTCAAAATGAACCAAGTACAAAAGTTAGGCTATCAGGAAAATGTAAAAAAAAGAGGACTGAAAATCTGGCCCCGAAATAACAAATTGGAATAGTGTTATACTGGAACATACCTATTCTATTGTTAATAGAATCTCCCACAGATAATAAGTAGTAGCAGTCGCCAGTGGGCTCAGTGGGTCGGTCTGAGTTCAGTCTGAAGTCGGACGACCAGCTGACCGGTTGAACTCTCTGCCTTCGGGCGGAGAGGAACCCGAACGAGGCTACGCCGAAGGGCGGAGTCTATTTCGGGGAGGTAAACCGACCCTGAACCCGTTTATACGGGTTCAATGGGCATATTTTTGGCCGAGCCCACGTTAAAAAGCCTTGTGCCACATGACGCCCTCGTGGGGGGGTGACTGAATAACCTCAATGAGTTGGTCTGAGTTCAGTCTGAAGTCGGACGACCAGCTGACCGGTTGAACTCTCTGCCTTCGGGCGGAGAGGAACCCGAACGAGGCTACGCCGAAGGACGGATTCTCTTTCGGGGAGGTAAACCGACCCTGAACCCGTTTATACGGGTTCAATGGGCATATTTTTGGCCGAGCCCACGGGCTCGGTGATCCCACGGGCTCGGTGATCCCACGTTAAACCGGCCTTGTGCCACATGATGCCCTCGTGAGGGGCGGGTGACTAAATACTGTCAGTGAGTTGTTGAGTCAGTCGATGCCGGACATTAAAGTATCAACCACCACAACTAGATTGCTGCATCATTAACTTTTATTTCAAGTTCCCTACGTTTTGTACGTCGAACCTTTTTAGGACCGACTCAGTGAAATACACGCCTCCACTGTGAAAACTACTCTACAACAAATAGGGAAAGATGTCCGGTCTCACTTGTTTTCCCTTTCTTTATTTCTTCTTTTCTCTTCATACATTTCCATATATTCGCTTTCTTTTTATCGTCCTGACGATAAAGTACATCCGGCAGCAAGGCACCTGATCGGGCGAATGGAAGTTTTCAGGAGCTTGGAACCACCTCTTAATTACTGCTGTTCCCAGGTTCACCCTGACCCGTGGAAGTAGCGCCTGTTAGGGTCCCAGCTATGGGCAAATAGTTAACTCCCAAACAAAAATCAACAGTACATTTTTATAATAAAATGACCAACAATACATTTTATATCAAAATAATTATTAATGTAACATTAAAAAAATATATAAAAATACATTTGTATTGTAAAATTACCAATAATATAGTTTATGATATAGAAATTATATATCTAAAAATAAATTTACTCTGAAACTACAAATTTACAAATATGTAGATTTTGAAATTGATTTTTGTTTAGCGGTATATCGATCTCTATAGGTTATTTAATCTAATGCTTCTCAAACTATCTGATATGGCGGACCAGCATATTTTTTCTCAATGTGTCATGTGCCTGTAATATTTCGTGGTAATATTAATTTATACCGAAAAAATATATATATATATATATATATATATATATATATATAATTTAAATAAAAACAGAAAACTTTAGGTTCCCTGTAATAAATTATTTCACAGCCCTTTTAAAAGGATGCGGATCATCAGACTTTTACTTTCCAAACCTCTTTTGAAGTAAAGTCTGATGATCTGCAGTCTTTTTTAAAAGGCTGTGTAAGAAATAATTTATTACAGGGAACCTTAAAGTTTTTCTGTTTTATTTAAATTATTTGCTCGGGATTTACATTGAGCTCTCTGGATTTTATCCTCCTTAGGTTTACCCATACGGATTACCTAGTTTTTTCATAAACTATATATATATATATATATATATATATATATATATATATATATATCAGACAAAAGTTCATTTTTTATCATCAAGAAATTCATTTCTGCAGTTTACTGCTACCAGCAAGCAGAAATATTTCTTCTCCTGATGATGGCAATTTTGGCTGAAACTAGTTGAGGAATCTAAATGAAATAATAATAATAAAAACGACAGAATATTAATCTACAACCCAGTGTGTCTGAAGATTTTAAATTTTTAATATTTTTTAAGGTTCAATATATATATATATATATATATATATATATAATGAATATGATAAAAGTTGACTGTTTTTTATCTTCCATTTATTTTTGCAAAAAAAATAATTTAATGTCAAAGCGTATAAAAAGTTTTAAAAAATAAATAAAAATAAAAGTTTATTAAGACAAAAATTATATAACCTTAAACTTTACAAATGATTTTTTAGCATGGCATACAGTTAGCTGATGGTTTGCATATCGGCACCAGTCCGCGGATTCACACTTTGAGTAGTATGGATTTATACCATAGAAGTTCATATGCCGTAAAACAAAATCAGCCAATCAAAAATCTTACTTCTCTTCTTTCTTTTCTGCATTAATTTCGCTCTTTCTCTTTATACAGTAGCGTCCAAAACTAAGGGACAAAATTTTAAAACCTAATATTTGTTAGAAATAACAAATGTGAAAAGCTGAAATTTTGACAACTGGTAGTCGTTATCATCCATAATAACATACTAAAATTTGAATCATTTGCAAAGGATAGAAAAAGAATTATAGCATTTATTTATTTATTTTCAAAATAGGATCGTCCAAAAGTAAGGGACAAAATTGAGAAAAACAAAGTAAACAGTATGCTATATTCAAATTCTTTGATTTCCTCTAAAGAATAAGTCTTACTTAGTCATTTGTAAACGTTGCATCAGCCGGCACCATGGCGAAACGCCAAAAACTTGATTACTCTGTGAGACAAGCTATTGTGAAGCTACACAAGGAAAAGCACACCATTAGAGAGATTTCAGAGAAAGTGAAACGTTCAAAGAGTGTTGTAGGCAGGGTTGTTAAATCCTACAATGATACTGGCAAAATAGTTAGTGCTTTTAAACCGGCAGACCCCACAAAACTTCGGCAAGAGAAGATCGAATAATGCAGCGTATGTCATTAAAGTCTTGCACAGAAATTAAAAGGGTTATGAATAGTACCTCATGTGTTAATGTGTCAAGACAGACTGTTTGTAGACGACTGCAAGAAATAAGGCTGTTTAATCGAACCCCAGGGAAGAAACCACTTGTTAGTTCGAAGAATAAGAAGAAGAGATTAGAGTTTGCAAACAGGTATGTAATTTGGACATATGAAAATTGGGCAAAGTATTTTTCAGTGATGAAAGCAAGTTTAATTTATTTGGAAATGATGGAAAAAACAATGTAAAGAGACGTATTGGTGAAATATTAAGTGCAAAGTATACTAAGAAAACTGTCAAGTTTGGGGGCGGAAGCGTCATGGTATTTGGAATGTTTTCTAGCCAAGGTACAACGCCTCATGTCCGGTTACAAAGTCGTGTAAACGCGCAGATCTATAAAAACATTGTTCAAGATCATGTTGTGCCAATCATACAGAATTCAGGTTTCGATAGGGATACCTTTATGTAAGATAATGCCCCATGTCACAAGGCAAAGGTGGTGATGAGTTACCTTAGCGAGCAAGATTTGGAAATTATGGATTGGCCACCGCAAAGTCCTGACTTAAATCCAATAGAAAATCTTTGGAAGACCTTAGGAGTGAACGTTATGGAAAGAAATCCCACTAACACGGAGGATTTGTGGGTGAAGCTTCAAGAAGAATGGTCTAAAATTAGTATCGAGGATTGTCAAGAACTGATTCGTTCTTGTAGTAGATGTGCAGCTGTCATTGAGAGCAAGGGCTCATTTACTAAATATTGATTGTACATGTATATTTATTGGGGGTTTTTTTTGCCGTTTACATTGTTTTTCTCAATTTTGTCCCTTACTTTTGGACGTTCCAAATTTGAAAATAAATAAATAATTGTTATAATTCTTTTTCTATCCATTGCAAATGATTCAAATTTTAGTATGTTATTATGGATGATAACGACTACCAGTTGTCAAAATTTCAGCTTTTCACAGTTGTTATTTCTAACAAATATTAGGTTTTAAAATTTTGTCCCTTAGTTTTGGACGCTACTGTATATGTTTCTTTTTCTCTTCATGGTTTCGGATTTTTTCTTACATTTTTTCTTTGTCTCTTTTTTATATTTTCTTTCCTCTTTTTCTTTTCTTTCTTCTTTCGCTCTTTTTTAATATTTGCTTTCCCTCTTTTTCTTTTTATCTTTATTTCCCCCCTTTTTCTTTCTTTCTTTCCCTTTTTTATTTTATTTCCACCTTTTCTTTTCTTTCTTTATTTCCTTCATTTTATATTCTCTTTCACTCTTCTCTTTTATTCTTTCTTTCTTTAGTTTCTTTCTTAGTTTCTCTTACCATTGGTTCTATATTGACTTTGAAAAATTCCCCATATTCTCTTCTTTCTTTCTTTCTTTCTTTCTTTCTTTCTTTCTTTCTTTCTTTCTATTGCTGTCTGTTTTTTTTTGTTTTTTTCTATTCCCATATGTCTTTCTTTCTTTCTTTCTTTCTTTCTTTTCTATTCCCATATGTCTTTCTTTCTTTCTTTCTTTCTTTCTTTCTTTCTTTCTTTCTTTCCCATCTTAGTATCTCTTACCTTTGGTCCTATTTTGACTTTGCAAAAATTCCCCATATTCTCTCCTGTTTTTTTTTCTTTCTTTCTTTCTTTCTTTCTTTATTTATTTATTTATTTATTTATTTCTATTGCTGTCTGTTTTTCTTTCTTTTTTCTATTCCCATCTGTCTGTCTTTCTTTCTTTCTTTCTTTCTTTCTTTCTTTCTTTTATTCCCATCTTAGTATCTCTTACCTTTGGTCCTATTTTCACTTTGAAAAATTCCCCATATTCTCTTCTTTCTTTCTTTCTTTCTTTCTTTCTTTCTTTCTTTCTATTCCTATCTTTGTTTGTTTGTTTGTTTGTTTGTATCTTTCTTTCTTTCTTTCTTTACCTTTATTTGCCAATCTTTTTTCACTCTCCGTAATTAATGTTCATTAATCTTTCTTTCTCCCTCCTCTCCCTCATTAGACTTTCTTTCTTTCTTTCTTTCTTTCTTTCTTTCTTTCTTTCTTTCTTTCTTTCTTTCTTTCTTTCTTTCTTCATTCCTTTCTTTCTTCCTTTCTTTCTTTCTTTCTTTCTTCCTTCTTTCCTTTCTTTCTTTCTTTCTTTCTTTCTTTAGAATTATCTTCCATTATTCTTTCCATCTTTCTTTCCTTTCTCCATTAACCATTAATGTCATTCTTTCTGTCTTTCTTTCTTTCTGTCTTTCTTTCTTTATTTATTTCTTTCTTTCTTTCTTTCTTTCTTTACCTTTATTTGTCACTCTCCGTAATTAATGTTCCTTAATCTATCTTTCTCCCTCCTCTCCCTCATTAGACTTTCTTTCTTTCTTTCTTTCTTTCTTTCTTTCTTTCTTTCTTTCTTTCTATTCCTATCTTTGTTTGTTTGTTTGTTTGTATCTTTCTTTCTTTCTTTCTATTCCTATCTTTGTTTGTTTGTTTGTTTGTATCTTTCTTTCTTTCTTTCTTTCTTTCTTTCTTTCTTTCTTTCTTTCTATTCCTGTCTTTCTTTCTTTCTTTCTTTCTTTCTATTTCTGTCTTGTTTTCTTTGGTCCGATTTCTTACTTTATTATTCTTATTTTTCCTTCCTCTCTCTCCCCCTCTCTCTCTGTCTCTCTCTCTCTCTCTCTCTGTTCTTTACTTTCTGCATTCAAACTTTCTCCCTGTCTTTCTCTCAACTTCTTAGTTAATATTTTCCTAAGGTCTCTATATCTCACACCTATCAACCCCCCCTCTCTTTCATACATTCCCTTTCTGCCATCATGCACGCCATTCGTTTGTTACAATGCCACGACCATTCAACCATCTATCTATCTATTTGGCTGCTCACCCAACCATCGAACAGAGGTCTCGAAATCTTAACCCTTTTAAGAACATCTATAGAATTCTAGTCCAAAACCAGTGACCACCTTTCGAAAACGAAGTGGACGACGGACTGATACTGGGTGGATCCAATAAACCTTTGGTCGTTTTCCTAAACCCCATCTCCATGTTCGTCTTCATCATCAGCTTCTTTTTATGACTGCCTTCACTACAGACATTGACTCAGTTCTAACTACCCCTCCACAATTTCCTCCGGCCATTCAAGAAGAAAATGTGATTCTCTTTCCTAGTGCACACTTCTTAAACCAAACCTTAACCTCTGTCCGAAAACCCTCTCCCTGCATCCATCTTGAGGTTCCTTTCCTGCAAAAACCCCTACCTGAACCATTGGCCTCTTGCTTCTTTCACTGCCGCGTTATGCACAACATTGCCCCGATCATCTTTCTTGTGACACCCGTCTGTCTGATATTTTCACCGTGATTTGTATACCCAGAGATGGAAAATATTTTCGACAGGGGTGGGATTAGGCTGGCTTCAGGTGAACGTGCGGCTAATGGCCGTCATATTTATGTACCTGCATCGCAAAAACATCCTTTACATCCAACAGGGATCTAATTTGGACTCGGAGCTCTTTCAGACCGCCCCCCCTCATTTTACTTCTTTTTTTTTCGGGTTGTGCCGAAAATAGATATTTGTTACAACTATGAATGTTAATCAAGCTATATTACTGTGTCGATTATTATTATTATTATTATTATTATTATTATTATTATTATTATTATTATTTTCTTTTGATTTCTGTTGTATACACATTTTTCCGGGTCCCAACCAGAGACCTAAAGTCAGAAATGATTTAATAACATTTCACATTTCTGTGCATTTTTGTAAAAAAAAAAAACCCAAAAAACAAAAAAAAAACGAAGATCAAACATATTTAAAATAGATAAAGCTATTCGTAATACGTGAGCTGTACTCGTGAGTACATTTTTTTTATTTCTTTAAAACATGGGCTACCAGGAAGCCCTTCAATGTGTCTATTGGAATCTTTTCCAATCAGACCGAAGGATCCAACTAAAGGGTGATCCAATGGCTTGGACCGATTTTAAATGTGAATTAAGTTTAAGCTTCTAATGATTATTTTCTTTTTCTTTCAAATTTGGAGGACATATGGGTATTTTTCACAGGAAATTGACATGACTTAAATAACATTATCCAATAGAGAAATAAATCATTTTTTTTTACCAATAACACTGATTTATTTACTGCTGACTTTGATCCGTCTAAATGAAACACCCTTGTATATAAACCCTATTAACTATTGAAATTATTGAGGTCATCCTGTGCCATATTTTAAGATTTCCATTTCAAAATTCTTAACTATTTGGGGAATTTCTTGGATAAAAATTATTATTATTGTTTCATTTGATTTGATTTCTGGTGTATACTCATTTATTTCACTCATATTTTACATAGATAAAGCACTTCGTAACTTTTTTTGTATTTCTTTAAGCCAAGGCTCAACAATGAGTCCATTGGAATATTTTTCCATTCAATCCGAGGGTTCCAACTACTACGGAAATGAAATTTTTGACGTCCTCATGTACCACATTTTTGAGATTTCCATTTCTAGATCCTTGTATTATTATTATTATTATTATTATTATTATTATTATTATTTGAGTATGTTATGTTTCTTGATTTACATCCTGTAGAGCCAGGTCCAAACTATGGTAATTAGGCCCTATAAGAGAATTGATAGCACTTTTCTTAGTATATGTTCTTAGAAGGGCGATCTTAATGTTACCTAGGACACACTGAGGAAAATTGTCCATTCCTTTTCTAACGGGACCCAAAGCTCCGATTACTATTGGTACACTCTCAGTTTCATTCCCCCTATCCAGTTAATCTTGATCTCCAGGTCCTTGCATTTGGAAAATTTCTCCATAATTTTCCCGTAGACGCTTCTCGCAGATGCTCGATTATTATTATTATTATTATTATTATTATTATTATTATTATTATAGTTGTCACTAACTTCTTGAGTTAATGAGTCAGCTAGAACATTTGACCAGGCCAATACCTCTTAAATAATGGATTATTCGGTTTGATCACTAGTAAAGACGGAAAAGACATATCAATGACGATGTTTGATTCCTTTGAGTGAACTAACGAAAAAATACTAAAAAGAAAGAAATGGATGGCAAATAAGGTGATAAACCTTTTATGTGTTTAACGTTTGCTTCAATGTAAAAAATGTAATAAAAATGTCAATTTGAAATCTTTCACTTTGTACCCCCTTACTTCTTTCTTCTTACTTCTTCCTGGCAAGGTACGGAATGTACTTAGTTATAAAAGTACCGAGAATCTTGAATAGATAACGGAAACCAACACAAGATATTGTTATTAATATGAAGAACAATTATCGTGCATTTCCAAAGAAACTACCTCTTGAAATTTGCTATTCTAAGAGCGGAAAATATATATAGGAAAAGTTGAGAGAAACACACAAAAGCTTTCATTAATGCAAGCAAAAAACTAATATATTGTTGTGGCGTTTTTAGGGCCAGAAATAAAGACACAAGAGAGGAATTAAATTAAACAAATATATTAACAGAAACAGTAATACAAGTATATACAAACGAGAGTGTTACAGCAAGAATGTCCGGTCCGACTGTCGGAGCTGACTGCTGTAAACTTCCCTCACTAAAAGGCAGTACCTGCTCCTATTTATAGCTGAGAGGGTCCATGCGTACGTAGGTAAAGAACTATATAACATATATATATATATATAAATATATATATATATATATATGTATGTATATATATATATAGGTGTGCGTGTGTGTGTGTGTGCGCGCGCGCGACGCACACGCACCTTTTTTTGCATGTAGATGATGCTATTATGTTAGTTTTGTCAACAAGTATGTTACGATATGAAAGATATATGCAACAAACTATTTCTTATTTAACAGTTAAAATATTTAATCCTTGAAAATGGCTAAATGTATAGCCGAAAGCGCTCGGATAAAAGAACATTCGTACTGCTTTTTATATAATTTATCATCTGAAAAAAAAAAAAATATTAGATCGCATGTATAAAAAAGCTAAATAAATCCACCTTGTCTGTCGTATTCAATTAAATGTGCATGAAAGAAGGATTGCTGCCTAAACACACACACACAAACACACACACGCACACACACACACACACAAACACAGACACACAGACACACACACACACACACACACACACATATATATATATATATATATATATATATATATATATATATATATATATACTCGACTCTCCTGTCGAATTCGAAGTATAGGGGTCAAGCAGATCAGTTCCCAGGAAACTGACAGCCCGACAACAGCTCATGAGATTTGATTATAGTGGTGAAGGTTTCGTGCAGGACCATCCACTAATTTTTTAAGGGACGAATACAGAGACCTGGTGCACTACGTGCCACAAGGTCCCCAAACGACCCTCCACAGATTTTTGAATTCAGAGTTGTCCTTCTTCTAGACCAGCTGCCATATATATATATATATATATATATATATATATATATATATATATATATATATGTATGTGTGTGTGTGTGTGTGTGGTATCAGGTCATTCTGGGAGGCTACTGATATCATGTAAGCCTTTTGCATAGTCGTGCAAATGGCAGATGGATCTCATTGAGAGGTCACCGGCCATCTAGCAATCTCTGCGCGAAGCCATAGAAATATTTTGACTGAGGGGGTGGGACCTCTCCTAGGAGAAGGACACTCTGATAGAAAACCTGCCTCATGGCCACACTAGATATCTTGCAACTGCTTGTCTCTGGACAATGTGCTTTTGTGGTCAGTGCAAACTGCATCTGACCTTAAACCTCACAAGGGCATTATTACTGTGTGTGTGAAAATTCATATATAACTTAAATTATATCTGGAAAAAAGACAATAAAAATGTAAGAGAAAAAGAAAACTTTTATTAACTTATTGTTATGGTCCGGTTCCTTATACCACGGTGGTAGTCCAAGGTAGAACCAATAAAAAAAGAATTCGAACAGGGATATGGAATAACACAGATATATTACAAACAGGAATATATACAGAGAGATAGAAAAGTGTTAGTACGAACAATCAGGTTTAGTAGGGAGAATAATGTAGTCTCGACCAGTATCACTATTCCAATGTCTTGTAGTAATTGTCTGAACGCGACTCTGTTTCGGACTGCCTCTGACTCGACTGATTGACTCGCTCGCTTTGACTGACTGACAGACTCCTGACGGACCTCACTCCTGACTTCAGATTGAACTCCCTGCTTCCTCTTGAGGCGCAGTATTTATTACGTATGGAATAGTCCATTATGTTATTATGGGTAAGGTCTCATAACACTTATGCTTTTCATCATCTAAATAATTAAAAAAAAAACAATAACATTTAGTCTTTTTCATTTATTAGGCATTAAATTTTACCATTTAGTGGTTCATGGTTTCCCTTGAATTTCACAATTAGCCTGATGTATATTTCTGAGCAGTCTTAAAATTTTTTTTAAAAATAGTAAAAACTAACGAGATTTTTTACTTCTGTTCATAAATACTTGTTGAAAAATGAAATCTTTACATTATTTGACAGTATCCGCCAGACGACACAACGCGCCGGCTCAGAAAACTTTTATTTTCTCCTATATATATATATATATATATATATATATATATATATATATATAGATAGAGATAGATAGATATAGATATTGATATAATTATATATATATATATATGTGTGTGTGTGTCTATGTGTGTGTATGCGGAAAGAGAGAAAGAGAGACCTAAACAGAAGAGAGAGAGAGAGAGAGAGAGTTTGGAAAAGAAAGTAAGAGAGAAAAATATAGATAGAGAGATAGAGTGATATGGTGAGAGAGAGAGAGAGAGAGAGAGAGAGAGAGAGAGATGAATCTCTCAATGCGCATGCACCGTGAAATATCTGCGCATGTCTGAAAATCTATAGTCAGTGAGTTATTGACTACTTCCCTTTGAAGGCCAAAGTTGGTTTTATCCTGCAAATATTTTGACAGAACCAAGTATCTCGCCTTCAAGAAGCCACAAGAGGAATTATTACGCAGTGCCAAATTATTATGTCATGCCTCCCATCCCCGGAAAGCCAGGACTTACTCAAGCGGAAAATACAAAGTGAATCTTCATCCGATTCTTTTCATTGGGCCTGCGATGGTAACAATGGAACACATTTTGATAACTCAAGGCTTCAGGCTACATCTCCATACAACGTAGGCGCTGCAGAGATGACACAGTTAATGCGTGAAGACCAGTGATTGCTGGACATGAAGTGCCAGCCTCTCACCACAGGAAACTCATGCTGTTGTAAAGGAACTCACAATCATTTTGACCATTACTACATACATTAAGCACCCACAAAATGTATTCTCTTGTTCGTACAAAAGAAAAAAAAGAACACAATAAAAAATC